TCGGGGAGGATGCCGCGAGCCGGGACGATGATGATCGACCGTCCAAACGAGGACGAGAGCGCCATTGATAGCGAGCTCGTGCCTTCTTCTCTCGCCTCCATCGCTCCGATTCTGCGAGTCGCTAATGACATCGAGAATGATAACCCTAGGGTTGCTTACCTCTGTATGCTTTTAACCTCTCTCTCTCTCTTGATTTGGTTCTTAGTTGCTCTCCTCGTGGGGGCTTTCAGCAGTTGAAACTAAAGAGAGTGCTTTGGTTTGGCAATATCGAGATGCAGATCCTGTCTTTGGATCTTTACAGGCAAAGGAAATGTTAGAGCACTTAGAGAGTGTTCTGGCTAATGAGCCTGTTGCTGTTAAAAGTGGCCACTATATTGTGGAAGTCAAGCCTCAAGTATTTACCGGCTTCTGCCCTTTCTTTTACGGTCAAAGCCTTTCGGCTTTTACTTTTCATTTTCAAAAGAATCTTATTCCTGCATCCTTTGTTTTACTGTGCAGGGCGTTAGCAAAGGATCTGTGGCGGAAAAGATTTTTACATCGATGGCTGAAAAGGGGAAGCCAGTTGATTTTGTGCTGTGTATAGGGGATGATCGATCTGACGAGGACATGTTTGAAGCCATAGGTAATGCAATGTCGAAGAGAATTCTTTCCGAAAATGCTCTAGTCTTTGCTTGCACAGTTGGTCAAAAGCCGAGCAAGGCGAAGTATTACGTGGACGACACATCTGAAGTTACTAGCATGATTGAATCACTAGCCGAAGCATCTGATACCGCAAGCTTTTCCATGACAGAACTCGAGGGTGCCCTTTGAGTTGAATCCCCAAATCTTTACCTTTTCCTCCATTGCTGCTAAAGATTTATGCCTCAGATAAGGCATGGAAGCAATGAAATCAGATCTGCGATTCATTTGATTCACACTGTGACAAATCTAATAGTTGTTATTGGGATGATCATTGCATAAAGAGTGGAAAGTACCCTCTCTGGTTTGATGAATAACACGGACCTGCATGAGAAGATTGAAACGAAGAGAAAGTGGGCAAAATGCATCTGTGGAGGAGATTCAGGTGGGTACCCAACCGTGTCTTTGGGGGTGTTTGTGCAGGATGAAGCCATTAACAGCTAAGTTCTTTTCCTTGGACCTTTTGATTTGTAATTGAATCTGCTAAGAACTCGGGAGAAAACCAAACACTAAGCTGCAACTTTTTTTTTTTTTTTGCATTAGATAAGAGTCTGGTGTTTAATAGTTGGAAGAATTGTATGTAAAAGCTAACTTAACTTTTGCTGTGTTTCAAAGTCTTAAATATTTACATCTTGGGCTTTGGCTCATCACACGGAAGACAGGGCATGTGGAGTCATATCGTTCACTCGCTACATGTGCCCCTGATGTTGGTCTTACAACCTTTGTTGTTCTGTTCTTGGTACTTGAACACAACTATTGGTTCTTAGTAGGGCTGGGAATGGGTGTTCGGGTAGTGGTATTTGTCTCGCGCGTTGAGGAGAATATGACGTTGGGTTTGAGGTTCGCTTCCTCACCCTCTCGTCTCGATTCTAATCCTATTTCCATCTTCAGTGTCGAGCTTTCTTCACCCAAACAATTGGAGAGCTTCGTATTTGGAGCTGTAATAATCTGGATTAGGCAGTTTATAAAAATCCTTTGTACAGGTTATAGATAACGTTTCTCACTTCTAGAGCTCTGTCTTTGACGCACAAATTTACACAACAAAATACAAGGTCTGAAGTATATGCTACCACATTCAGCAGATTGAAGAACACTTCCATGTCCCTCAGTAATGTTTTTTCTTCTTCTTCTTCTTACTGCTTAGACGGAAACTGGGGTTGGCTTTGGGGGAGGAACCCGATTCTCCACAGGTATTTCAACGAATTCAGAGAGGATTGCTCGGAATTCGTCACCGGACATAGTCTCTTTCTCGAGCAGGACCTCGACAATCTTGTCCATGGCTTCTCGGTTGTTCCTTATGTGACTCAACGCTACCTCGTAAGCGCTGTCTGATAGTCTCTTCACAGCCGCATCAATGTCTTCCGCAAGCTTTTCAGACATTGAGTTCCTCGCCATCATCCTCATTATCACATCGCCGCTTTGAGCAGATGAATCCATCAATGACCATGGCCCGATTTCCGACATTCCAAATGTTACCACCATCTGAAAGCATTTGAGCCATTCTTGCAATTCTCAAGAACAGTTTGCAAGACTAGAGAAAAGGGTAATGAACTTGAAAATTCATATTTTTCCACCTGTTTAGCCAAGCCAGTGATCTGTTGCAAGTCGCCGACTGCACCAGTGGTCACCTCGGGCTCGCCAAAGATGATTTCTTCGGCGGCTCTTCCGCCGAGTCCACCCACGATTCTAGCAAAGAGTTGTTGTTTAGAGATGAGGGTAGGATCATCCGAGGGAATGAACCATGTCAGACCTCTCGCTTGCCCTCGTGGTATCAGCGTCACCTTTTGCACGGCGTCATGCCCTGGAGTCAGTGTTCTGCAAGAAAATCAAAGCGGCAGCCCAAACATCAGTTCCCGTTACGATGAATCCATGTCGGAGATATTGTGTTTATATATGTGTGTATGTGTGTGTACGTGATTGTATTCATCTCATCTGGTTAACACTTACCCACAGATCGCGTGGCCAACCTCGTGGTATGCCACCAAGCTCTTGCTCTTCCCATCTGTCATGACCGTCCCCTCCATTCCCGCTACGATTCTATCGATCGAGTCATCAATCTCTTTTGATGAGATTGCAGTCTTGCCACGTCGGCCAGCCAATATGGCAGGCCC